CTGCTCGCGGAGGCCGTGGGTCGAGACGTACTTGGCGCTGCAGGCCTTGCCCTTTCCTCCCCCACGCTAGCAGTAGCTGGCTCTGCAACACTTACAGCTGCGCGTTTGCTGTGGGGGAAGGTTCGCGCGTGAAGTTTCCCTCGTCTTGCGCCTACGGACAGGCGCTGGGGCTGTCTCCACGGTAGGGTTAGCGGTGGTCGCAGCAGGTTGGGAAGATTCCCCCTATTGTGTTACAATGGGTGCAGGATCAGGCGCGAAGCTGCAGAGCTCCCCCCTGTCAAATGCTATTGGAGGCCTCAGTGAGTGGTCCCCCGAATAGATCACCAGCGCCTTTGCGCGATGGGTCGGACTCTAACAAAAATCTTTCCAGCTCGCTAGCTCTATTGCCCATAGCGAGCGAGCCGTCTCCGTACACCTCGTGACCTTGCCTCTTCCTGGCAGGAAGACGCTGCCAATTCCTTCGCGAAGTAGGCCAATGTGATCTGCTACAAACCTCGCGAAGCTGCTCTCGTAAGAGTCCTCGTCCTCTACAAAAATATATTGCGAAGGTACCCCCTATCATAACCAAATTACAGAGGGACTCTGCGAGGGTTATATGTCTTTGTTATTTGACCCCCTTCACATATTGCTGGCAAGTAGCCAGGGGTGCTCATCAACAAGAACACCAACACTTCGCTCGCATTCAGGCGATGAGCACCCACTGGAATGTACTCGTTATCGTTAAAGTACATGGGAAGAGTTTTAGCCCCAGGCAGGTCCATCGCATAAGGGCGACTTATGAATTGGAAGCTTTGGTCCAAGACATATCCTAGCCGTCCTCGTGGCGACCGACCATGCCATCTCATGCCTCGCACCACCTCCTCGTCCACAGCCAGGTCTGCGGGGATGGGAACATAAGATTGGAACCTCTCGTACAGGAACATTTGTAGAAATATGGTAGACGCGTACGAGCAATGGATGTAGCGCCCCACAGACCGGCCCATGTCTTCCCACACCATGTCGAGTCGGTGGTATAATGTTCCCAAAAAGAGAGGTGCGAGGGCCATCTTCACACCACTCGCCAGCTTCACCGTCAGATCCACAAGTCGTGGCTGTGGAGCATCCTCCGGAGTCCCCTCGAACAGATATCTCGATAGCCAACATAGTAGGTAGGCCGCGAGACTGGACGAATGATCAGCCCAAGGACCTGGAATTCCTTTTCTCCCCTCATCTGTGAGATTCTTTTTTGTCATGGGGAAATCTTTAAAATAATATCGCACCAACGCCCCCAGAGCGGCCTTGCGTGTACCCTTGCCTCGCTCAGCATGGCGAATACCCTGTGCGCCCCACAGCGACTTAAAGTCTTTAGTTTTCTCCAGTGCTGTCTCGAGATCATGAGCAAGAGTCTCTTCAGCTTGCACGAACTCCCAAGAACCAGGATTTTCCACCCCTTGAAAAGGTAAGCCTAACAACTGGCTCACATCCTCAATCGTGGGAGTGAACTCTCCCCAAGCAGTAATGAAAGTATGCGAGCTTGAGCTCCATCGCGAGGTTAATTCCCATAAACCTACAGTGTCGCGAGGGATGTGTATTTGGCGAAACAACTTAATCGAAGCTGTTAAGCTCGCTACATCCAAGATTGCCTCGTACTCTGGATTTGCAAGGATCGCGTCCGTCTATTTTTCCCAACTATGGGCTGGACTTATGTGATTGTTGAAGTTCATATAGGACCACGGATGTTGCCCTTGCTCAACCCCAAATCACAAGATTGTATCCGCAAGGATGCGAGGAGTCAGGTTCATTTTAACTTCCTCCTCCATCAACTCAACCACTTCAAGTGGTTCGCCGGCGACCACAGCTTTGCTCGCCCGGTGCCAAAACAGGTCATTTTTTCTAAAAAATGGCGCCCGTCGCCATTTCGAATTTGCTAGCACCTTTGGCGGAGGGCAATCCTTCTTGCATAACTCTTGTTTTTTGCTAACCATGATGGCAGTTCCTTTTCACTAAGCAAACAATGCACCAAAGAACTCTAAACTTTCGTGAGATCTCTTCTCCGACGACGATGGAGGTTCAGGTAATCTCTGTATTTCTTAAGCCCGTTTCACAAGTAACCCTTCACTTCGTCACTGTCTCCCTTTTAATAGCCTTCTTGCCTCGGGAACCCCCAAAAATCAAATTTGCAACAGACGGCGCATTAATAACTAGAGGTGACCTTTCATGCTCGCGTCTCTTCCACCCCCTCAAAACAATAAATTCCCTAGAAGCTTAGCCTTGCACGCGCAATAATTCATTTTGAATCGTCGCACGTGCAGGGGGGCAAAATGTGGGTGTCACTTATCAGACGCTGAGGTGGCACGTTGACAAGTCAAAATAACCCTAGCCAAACCCTCCGTGGCAAGTTGAAAAGTTAAAAGCCTCGAAAGATCAAATCTTGAGCACTTTAAGCCCTGGCATCGCTCCAGGCCCTCAAGCCTCGAAATCTCGAGCACTTTGAGCCCTGGTATCGCTCCAAGCCCTCAAGCCTCGAAAGATTAAATCTCGAGCACTTTAAGCCTTGGTATCACTTCAGGCCCTCAAGCCTCGAAAGATCAAATCTCGAGCACTCTAAGCCCTGGTATCACTCCAGGCCCCCAAGCCTCGAAAGATCAAATATCAAACACTCTAAGCCCTGGCATCGCTCCAGGTCCTCAAGCCTCGAAAGATCAAATCTCGAGCACTCTAAGCCCTGACATCGCTCTAGGCCCTCAAGCCTCGAAAGATCAAATCTCGAGCACTCTAAGCCCTGGCATCGCTCCAGTCCCTCAAGTCTCGAAAGATCAAATCTCAAGCACTCTAAGCCCTGGCATCGCTCCAGGCCCTCAAGTCTCGAAAGATCAAATCTCGAGCACTCTAAGCCCTGTCATCGTTCCAGGCCTTCAACCCTCGAAAGATCAAATCTCGAGCACTCTAAGCCCTGGCATCGCTCCAGGCCCAGTAAGCCTCGAGAAGTCGATCTTCGAGCATTCCAAATCCTGGTGTTATGCCAGACGATACTGTCCTAAAAGATCGGAGCTCCTTAGCACGAGATGAGGTAGGATTTTTGTGTTATAGGAGTCCATGTTTGGGAAACTTAGGAGGATCTTGGATTGGCGGATGAGAAGTTAAGAAGTGCCTTTGCTCTCGGCAAGGCCCAATTAACAAGATAATGGGATTATACACGTTGTGACAGCAAACCTTAAAATCACAATTAATGCTGTGTCAAGCTTGACCAACCGACGGCCAAGCAACATTTAATGCCCCTGATTAAGGGAGAAGTGGCATGGCAACATGGGACAAGGCTCGAGGAAAGGATTAGACCCTTCAGCCCCTTAAGTCTTCAGGATTATTCACGTAATCCGGATTGGGGGTGATGCATGCGAGGAACCATACATAAAGGAGACCGTTGGTAATGGAATCTTGATCTATAAATGGCACTGTCCTATGAAGAAAGGAGCAACTCTCCCGAACTAAAGAAAAGCTGTCATATTGTATACTCGCCCTACCACCATCTGAATCTGGTTAATTGGTCTTCTTTTCCTCCTCCTACACTAAGCATCTCCTCTGTTTTCCTTCGTATTTGTATTCCTGATATCTCTTTTTATTACTATTTTATTACTTAACAAAAAAGAACCCCTACAGATACTATACATTTATACGCAATTATATATGTATACATTACAGTTTCATCTTCTTATTCTTAAATACCTACCATTGTTACATCCCAAGCTACCATGTAACTGACTCTTTTGCCCCCAAAGCTACTATATGATTGCAGTAATAAATAATAAAACGACCATCACCAAATTTAATCCTGTTAATGAAGGATACTGGAAGAGATACACTAAATATAGACTAATCTTTGACATTATCTACACAAAGTGATTGTCCCCAAACTCGAACTTATTTTCTTACACGTGGCAGCCCAAGGTCATTAAATAATGTCTTCTTATATTCTAATAATAGTGCCGTTGTAAATTCATTCTACACTTTCTTTCTGTTATGAATTCTAAAATGCCTGTCTGGCCCTAAATCTCATTATTTGATTTTGCTCATTATTTTTGGTTGGCATAAAATGAGAAGAGTGGAGGTAGGACAAATGAGGACTCATCGCAGCAGTCATTTCTGATTCTAGAGAAGAAGAGGACTCGAAACATTGGGTTAAAAAGCAAGAGACTACTCATGCATAGTGAAGAGGCTATGGAGCTGAGACTCACATGGGAAGAAGCTCAGGAGTTGCTTCGCCCACCCCCGAGTGCCAAGCCAACCATTGTCATGATTGAGGAGCATGAATTTGAAGAATATGATGTAAATATGCCATTCGAAACAAATACTTGTTTGTTTTAAACATATTTTGGTCAGCCTTTCTTGTCTGCAAGTTAATAAGTCATCTGTGGGGAATGCTGCTCTACCTTCAAGCGAGTTTAGAACATCAATCCCCACCATGTTTTCCACGTCATCTATGTGACTAATGTTGTTCATGTTATTTAGGAACCACCAGTTTTTGCAAAGAGGACTATATTCACCACAAGAGCATCTGGGTGAGTAACTTCTTAAGTTATTTAGTTATTTTGTCGCCAGTATATCAAGAAACAGAGAGAGAAGGAAGGGAGGGAGGGGGTTATGGGGGACTAACAGACTTTTGAGAAAGTTTTGCTGTCATTTTTTGACATGTTTGTTATACTTCTGGTTTCACTTGTCTTCCTTTTAGAGAACTATTTCTAAAGTTTCAAATGGCAGATTTATTTTGCTCCCATATTTTTAAACAATCGACAGATGAGAAATGAATGATGGAAAAAAACCTGTGGCCCTAGACTCACGATCTTATTAGTCGTCCTCTAATTCTCTTTCTTTAACATTTTTCTCATCCTCTCTGGCATGCAATATGGTCCAAGATATTTGAAGAACGGGCTATCCCAAGCTGCCCCCATTACCACTTGTGATGCATGTAAAGGACCACTCTCAATTCAGTTTCATTTTCATCTTTATTCTTGTATTTTTCTTCCTAAAATTAAATTTTGTGTTGTATGAGGTTTCTGCTAGCATAGCTCGTAAAGTCTCTTTGTGGCCATATCAGAGTCATGAGATCGAATACAGCTCCATCCTTTTATTATTATTATTATTATTATTATTATTATTTTATTTCTATTCGATCCTTGTTTATGCAGTTGGGAGTTGTACATTGAGATAGACAAGGCTCTAGTTATGATTACATGAATGTTGTAATTTCTGATGCTTGTTTGTGGCAAAAAAGGAAGTACTTTTTCATACTACTTATGTTTATGCTGTGCTTCCAGATGTTTATGTTCTGCACCTGAAGATATGAGTCCAAAGGATCTGGAAAGCTTTTTCAGAGTTGGCAAGGGTATGAATAAGACTGTGTTTCCTTCTTATTTTAACTAAATTTTAATGGATTTGAGAATTAGTAATCATAATGCTTGCAAGTCCTTATATGTGTTCGCTTTTAGACAATGCCTATGTGTATCCACTAGCGCATATTTAGTTGCACGCTGGCTGCACTGTGGATGTTTATGCATGCATACTGTCTAAAATGGACTTGGTTACATATGGACTATGTATGTTAAAAAAAAAAAAAGGACTATGTTAAATTGTTGAAGTTGTTCAATTGTTTTCTATCTTTTGGGATTAGTCTGTTTTACATGGAAGCTTCATTCATTTTTTTTTTTTCAAATAATTTATTTTGCATGCTGATAATTTTGGTAAGTATTGCATGAAATTCTATTGAAGTAGGAAGAGTTTCATTGTTCTTTAGTTGGACACTCCTGTTGATTGTGTTCGATAATAGGTGTCTCTGACACATTACTATATCCTTCCCCATTTCATATTACGTCTGTTTCTTATGAAATTCTCTTGAAGTAGGAAGAGTTTCATTGTTCTTTAGTTGGACACTTCGGTTGATTGTGTTCGATAATAGGTGTCTCCGACACATTACTATATCCTTCCCCATTTCATATTACATCTGTTGCTTATACTTCACACAATTTGATGTGTCCATAAAGATTAGTATGGATGATTTTGGAAGCTTTTAGATTTTGGCATGCTTTATGTGAATGTTCATGGGTCGCACTTGTGAAAAATAGATGATTTGTATTCTTTGTACGCCTATGTTTATTGTGAAAGGAGAAGTACGTAGAGGGATTAATTTCCTTTGTCTATTTTTATTGTGAGGAGTGAAGTTTTTAAGTTGGTTAATAACTTTATGTCCAACAGTTTCGAAATTCAGATAAAATGGGGTCCAGTGGCCATTTGAGTTGATTCAGAGATCCTACGTCTGTAAAACCCGTTTTTCAATGTGTGACCATTCAAGACAACTTGTTTGCATCAGTAAAAGTTGCTTTTCCCTATTCTTGCTCGTGTCGCCTGTTGGTTTTCTTCGTTTTATGATTATTCTCATTACAAATAGTTTTGTCATATTGATTGTGATATTTTCCCTAATGAATCCCAAAATACCTGCCGATGCTTAATTTCCCTCTCTCTCATTTCTCCAGATTTTAAGAAACGAAGAACCATAGAAAGCCGCAAGGTAGGCCAAGAACATGAGCCCTCTGGATTAGACACCTTGGCCACTGCTGCAGTCCTAGGAGACAATGTGGGTGAGTTAGGTGAGCTGTCAGTTGGAGCCACTACAAAACATCCTAGGCATCGTCCTGGCTGCAGTTGCATCGTCTGCATTCAGCCCCCTAGTGGGACCGGCAAGCACAAGCCCAGTTGCATATGCGTTGTGTGCATGACCGTGAAGCGCCGGTTTAGAACCCTCATGTCGCGGAAGAAGAAACGCCAATCAGAACATGAAGCAGAAATTGCCCAGAGGAAGGACCAGGTTCCTCCAAGGGATGAATCAGAGATGGCTGGCACATCTGAACATCCATTGCCGCATATAAACCATTCAGATAATGAAATAACCGGGGTTAGAACACAAATGGAGGTGGCTGAGTCCAGCAAGGAACAGCTAGACTTGAATTGCCATCCCAACCGTGAAGACGACCTTCTAACAGAGACAACAGGAGCGAGCATGACAAGACTTGTTCATGCAGCAAGCCTTCCACTAGAGATGTACATGAGGCAGAATGGGCTCTCAAACTTGCGCCCCTGTTTGCTCTCACCAGCCTCTTGTGAGAACGAGGGAAGCCCACCTGATGAAGGGTGTTTTGCATCTTTAGTACCAGAGTATGAGAACATGAGTGATGAAGGATAATCTCAGCCCAAACGAGGCTGTTATAATTTTCCTTTTTTCATTATTTACAGGTTTAAAATTATATATGATATCTGTTTTCTTCCCCAACGGATAATGTTATGTGTCTTTACAATCAAAGAGTGCACTCTGTCTTACAATGATTTGTGCTTTGATCTCTTCTGCTGACAGTAATGGATTATCATATGTATGTTTGTCTGTAATTAGAACATCAAGCAAGTCCTCTTCCACCTTCTTTGCACCACTCCTCCACTGTCGCTTCTTCTCATCAATTTCGGGATGTTGATACTTTCTTAGACTTGCAATAGCTTTCCTAATGATCTTCTCATGACCATCCAAATCAACCTGCCATCTCATCCATGGATTATAATCAGAAACACTTAAACACACAACGAATACACGTACCCAATTAAGAATGGCGAAACACGTCTATATGTGCTCTTCTTCCTTATTACCCGGTACTCCTCCATCCGCTATTCCTTCCCTGAAAAACCTCTTGTTGAATATCATCTTCCTTATCACATTCCCTCAAGGTGATCTGCTTCTTCGGCTCTCTTGTGGTTAAGCCATCGGTGTCTAGCCGGTGAAAGCACCTTAGAAGTAACTACCCTTTTCATATTTTTCCATTGTTCACCTAAAGGGACAAGAACTAGGACCTATACTATAGTCCCAAATACAGAATAGGGAAGTGTTTGTCTTGAAAAGTCAAGGAATTTTTTTAATTATTTTTTATTTTTTATTTTTTATTTTCCTGAAAAGTCAAGGATTGTTTTAAATGGATGAATCCGCTACTGACTTCCCCTTGTGAGATACCTTTGGTGCATAGGTGATATCAAAAGAGCTAAGTTCAATAGCCCATTTTGTAATTCGACCAGACAAGTCTGGTTTAGCTAGGATAGCCCGTATAGGGTGATTTGTAAGTACCACTATGCTGTGAGATTTGAAGTAATGTCGAAGTTTCCTCTTGGCATAAATTAACGCCAGGATTATCTTTTCCGTCTTGCTGTACCGTGTCTCGGCATCCGTCATCGTTTTGCTTGTGTAAAAGATTGGGTGCTGAATCTTGCCTCCTTCTTTGATCAACACTGCGCTTGTTGCTACAGCTGATACTGCCAAGTACAGGATGAGAATGTCTCCCGGCGCTGGAGCAGAAAGGATTGGGGGTTTTGTCATGTAGCTTTTCAATTGATTGAGAGCTTCCTGCTGCTGAGGTCCCCACATATCTTTGTTTTTAGATCGAATAGCATCAAAGAAAGGTTTATACTTATCAGATAATCGGGATATGAACCGGCTGAGGGCCGCAACTCGGCCAGTTAGAACTTGCACTTCCCTGCGTGTTTTTGGCTCTTGGTTCTGTATGAGTGCCTTTGCCTGAGCTGGGCTTACTTCTATTCCTCTTTTATTTACAATGTGCCCGAGGAACTGTCCTGAAGAGACGGCGAAGGAGCACTTGGTGGGGTTCAGCTTCATATTGTACCTCTTGAGAGTATCAAAGACCTCTTGGAGGTGCTTCGGGTGATCCTCTTTCCGTATACTTTTGACCACCATGTCATCGATATAGGCTTCAACTGTATTCCCCAGTAGATTATTGAAAATTTTATTGACAAGTCGCTGGTAGGTGGCTCCGGCATTCTTTAGACCGAAGGGCATCACTCTGTAGCAGTAAGCGCCCGTCTCTGTGATGAAAGCGGTTTTCTCCTCATCTTCAGGATTCATGGGAATCTGATTATAGCCGGAGTATGCATCGAGGAATGTGAGCCTCTCATAACCTGTAGTAACATCCACCATTTGATAAATCTTGGGCAGAGGGAAGCTATCTTTTGGGCAAGCTTTGTTAAGGTTGGTATAATCTACGCATACCCTCCATTTTCCATTCTTCTTTTGAACGACTACTACATTTGAGAGCCATTGTGGGTATTACACCTCTCGAATGAATCCTGCTTGTAATAGTTTATTTACTTCCTCGGCTATTATGCGATTCCGTTCAGGTGCGAACCGTCGGTGCCTCTGCTTGACTGGCCTGAATTCTGGGTTAACCCTCAAACTATGGCATGAGACCGTAGGATCGATCCCTACCATGTCCGAGTGATCCCAGGCAAAGACATCCGAATTACACTGAATGACCATGATCAATGCTTCCTTCTCTTCGGCTGTGCAAGATGAGCCAATGTAGGTAACCTTCTGAGGGTCTCCGAGGACTACCTCTATAGCTTCGAGGGACTCCTCGGTAGGTGCTTCAGACTCGGCTTCTTCCTCTGCCTTGAGATACTTGGGCAGAGGATACTGTAACTGTTATTTGATTGCGTCTTTGGGATTCGCCTCTGACTGAGGTGATTTCGACGCCTTCTTTGCTTCATATAGCGTTAGCATGTAACATTCTTTTGCAGCAACCTGGTCTCCCCAGAGGTCGATGACCTCCCTGCCATCTGGGGATAAACACCTCATTACTTGATGAAGGGTAGAGGGGACTCCGTTCATACGATGGATCCAACCTCTCCCCATAATGAGGTTATAAGATGGATGAATCTCCGTCACGACAAAGTTCTCCTTCAGAGTCCTCTTTACTGCAGTAATGGATAGATCGATCACCCCAAGCGGATTCACCTTAGTACCATCAAACCCCATTAGGGGGCTGGAAGTTGGCCTGATGGGCGATGGTGAAACCCCCAGCTGATCGAAGGCTGCTTTTGTAATGATGTTAGCGCTACTTCCCGGATCTATCAGCACCCTCCTGATCATATAATTCGCCACTAGGAGGCTGATGACCAAGGGGTCTTCATGCGGGCGTTGGACTCTAGACAGATCATTGTTACCGAATCCAATGTTGATGCTGCCTGGCGCAACCGTGTTTACTGAAGACAATCTTCGTAACTTATGAGCCTCTCTCAACCTGGATCTGTACAACTCTTCAGACTCTTCATCATCCTCTGACCTTCCGTGTATGGCATGGATAACCTTTACCTGACCGCCCTCTACCCCTCGAGGGTTAACCTCCCGAGGTTTTACGTACTCCTTCGTGGCGAGATACTCCACCAACTCTCATCTCGCTATCATGCTTTCTACCTGTCGCTGAAGGGACCTGCAGTCATTGGTGGTATGCCCATAATCTCTATGGTAGGCACAATGTTTGCTTTTGTCCCTCTGCTCCAAGGGTTGTTTCATGGGCTGAGGAGTTGCGAACCTCGTCTTATTATCTTGGAACAGGCGCGCTAAGGTAGTACGGAGAGGGGTAAGCCTGTTGTAATACACCTAATTTTAAAAGGATAGTCTCGGTATTTATTTATTTGTTTTAATTGTATTTTTTAATTATTTAATTAATTATTTGACTAATTGCTTATGTGTTTAATTGAATTAGGTATTACTTAATTATTTGATTATGTGTCTATATATTATTTGTATTTGTCTATGTGTTAATTGTTTAATTAGATTATGTGCTTAAATGGTGTTTTGATTAATTGTAAATTAAATATTTTCTTTTCTTTTATTATTTTATTTTATTTTCTTTTTCTTTTATGGTTATGGTTAGTAGTAATGGGCCAACTAATTGGGTCCCATGGACTACTTGGATAGGAGGTTGGATGTGTATGAATTATTACCCATGGATATTGTATGTATATATATAAATATATATTATATACATATATAAAAAGGAAAGTAATTTATTAATTATTTATATGGTAACTTGGGTAGTAATATTTAATCTGATGTATATATTTTATATTTAAATAATAAAAATATACATAGATTTGATACGTGTTATGTTTTAAGTTACTTTATAATGTTATGGTAACTTAAGTATTATTGGATAATCCATTAATAAATAATGAAATATGTATAATTTATTTATTTAATAAACATATACATAAATTATATACGTAACATATTTTACTTACCTTTTTAATATATATATAAAAGAGAAAGTAATTTATTAATTACTTTTATGGTAATTTGGGTAGTAATATTTAATCTGATGTATATGTTTATTTAAATAATAAAAATATACATAGATTTGATACGTGTTATGTTTTAAGTTGCTTTATAATATTATGGTAACTTAAATATTATTGGATAATCCATTAATAAATAATGGAATGTGTATAATTTATTTATTTAATAAACATATACATAAATTATATACGTAACATATTTTGCTTACCTTTTTAATATTTTTATTTTTATTTTTTTTTTAGTTGACTTGGATTGGGAAAAGGGTTAGGGTTATTTTATTTAACCTATAAATATATAGCTATAGGTTGTAAAAGGGGGTTAGAAATATTCACGTGATATATACTGGAGAGATAGTGTTAGAGAGGGAATGAGGAAAAGGAAAGAATGAGGAGAAAAACCCTGTAGAGAGAAGATCAAGAAAGAAGAAGTTTAACTTTCGATCCGAAAGTTTAAGGCAAGTTCTTCTTCTATCTCTTTCCCTTGATTCGTGTTTCTGTACATGCCTAGGAAATTTCAAGATTTATTAAACACATAAAATTAAATAATTATGCATGTTTAATTGGGTTAGAACATAGGTTTTATGAAATTGGTTCATATCTGTTCTTGTGTTATGAATTGATAAAATGCATGATTTTGATTTGATTTCTTATGTGAATTTTTACATGTTTAAATTATGTATTTTTCATATCTGTGGAATGATAAAACGTAGAAACATGTCTAGAATTCCTGAACATCAAATAGGGACTAGGTTTGGGTTTTAATAAATTTAAATAAACTCAATCATAATGATGCTTGCTATTTGAATGTTTTAAACAAACGAATGGATTTAATCTTTTAAAATATTTTAGCAATTGAGATTAAATGTGTAGGATGAATTGGATATAGAGAATCCTTATTTAACGGTATAATAAAATATTATCATATATAAGATTCAGTTTGTATAGGACATATGATATAGGAAGTTTAAAGAAATAATAAGTCATTCCTATTATGTGATAACTTAATATCATATTTATCATAGTTATTTATGGAATGTTTGATGTATTTCCTTAATTGTTACATCAATTGTTGGATTGTATGGTTTAATGCACCGGTATGGGACGGTGGCATTTTAGGGATGGATTAACTTATCAGTTAAGTCTTACCTATTTTATA